GCCACTTGGTCCTCCGGACAGTGTTCCAACTTGTAATTTTATGCTCTCACAATAAGAGCCCACTGCTGAATTTGACCTGAGCCTTTGGGCTGCATGGTACTGTCCCCTTTGAGTAACCCTAGATGCAGTTTGTGGTCCATTACTATTACAAAATTAGTCTGTAAATGTATTAGTGGAAATTTCTCACACCAAAGATGACCAGCAAATCTTCCTTCTTTATCTGGGCATATTTTCGATTGGCATCAGCCTAAGTTCTATTAAGCATTCCTCTGCATTGGATCATCTGTTAGTTAATGCTACCTGATACCATACACGGAAGCGTTGCACGTCAGCTTCACATCTTGCTTGAAATCATAGTGTGCCAACACCTTGGATGACAATAGGTTCTTCCCTAAAGGCTACTTATTGGTTACCAGGCCATTTCCAAGGCTGACCCTTTTTCAATAGCAGGTGTAAGGATGCCAGGATGGAGGCCAGGTTACATATGAATTTTCTGTAATAATTCACAAACCCAAGGAAAGACCTAAGCTCCAGTACAGACCTGAGAGCCAGGCGCCTTTGACTGTCTTCATCTCATCTTTCAATGGGTATAACCCAATCTTGTTGATTCTGTAGCTTAAGTAAGTCATTGGGGTGCCTGGAACACACAATTTTCCCTTCTAAGGCATACATCCACCTTGGAGAAACATTTAAGCACTATGTTCAAGTTCTCTACATGCTTTATATAAGTCTTCCTGGTTATTAGCATGTCATCCAGATAAATGGTGACCTGGGATAGACCTTGTAAAATGTTCTCCATTGTCCACGAAATAGCTTCACAAAAACAGATTACCCTCTATTTACATGTGCATAGTATATGATACTGACCCAGCTAGCTCAGAGCAGGCTCCAAGGCACTCCTGTTTATATTTGTCAGCTGGGACTCCCTGATTGCACCAGATTAACAGCCCCAATCAGAAAACCCATATTCTATGAGGTCCACTTGGCTGACCTCATGCCAATCACTCCAAGGTCTCAGCATTTAAAAAATATCCATTGGTATTCTCATACTGGAGAAATCAAATAAGACTTTGGGGCTGCACAACAAATAGATATTTTTCCAGTTATATGGCTAGTAATAACTTTTTTAAGCTATTGTCCCATCAGTGCTTTTTTATACACTTTTAGCAAATTACTATTGTAGTTTGTTTAAATTGTATATCTCTGGGAATTTCAGGTCATTATCAATATATTGGATTTGCACGTAACAAAGGGAGATCAAATTCCTATCCCTTGAAATACTCAGTGGAGCTTACAACGTCCATTGTAGTCTCTTAACCTGCTGTTTATAAAAACGGCGCATTGCAAGAAGCACTTTCAAACATCAGGACGCGGTTCGCCTCTTTGTAACAGAAGTGGTAATGGTATAAAGCCTGGTAACTATTTATTGTTCAAAAGCCCTCAAAAGACGGAAGGTAGATTTGGATAAGAACGTGGTTAACTATACGACTAATAAATTCCAATTCCAAGGGTTCAATACACACCATTTGCTTAATGCCTATCGATTTGAAAACGATGCATTCTAACATAAAGCCACAGAAAGTGAGAGTGATGAATGAGGTTTAATGATTAGTTTGAATTTAAAAGATACGGACTGAAATAGGCGCAACAACAAAACGAATATGACCATTTGCGCGGGTTTGTACATAGTTTCAAATAGGGATTCTCTGTCGGCAACAGAATTATTTCGATAATCCTATGTATTTCAATAAATCTAAGTAAGTACCACGAAGTAAACGTTCACAAAAGTTGGCTTTAAACTAAAACATTAAAAGAAAGGCGACGAACAATCCCGTTTGGGACACGTATATGGTTTAAACTGTTAAAACAGTCAGGTTTAAAACAAAAGGACAGAACTCAGATTTAATACAATGCACCGTGAAACAATACTGTACGCGAATCGTGTATTTCGTGGGTTGTGGGTCTGTGTAAACAGTTCTGCAATTTCCAAGATACCTATTCAGTCTCGTTCAATTTCACCCAGCAATTTTATTTTTCACAGTAGCGCTGGGTTACTGCCGCTCTTCCAAGAAGTAACACCAGTGAACGAATTTGCCAAGCCTTTTGGATCGGCGGGACATTTTGATCTGGGGGTCCTAATGTGATGTCGTTCCAGAGTAAATTTTAATCAACTCCTCAGAGGTTTAAGCGGAAATGGTCAGTCGCACCCTTTTACCAAATGTATCACTTCAGTTGAAGATCTGCGTTAGTGAGGATTCGTCTCTTATAGCGCGAATAGTATCTCCACTAGCACACGATTAATTTCCGGCCACTCTATCTGCATTTCGAACACAGGCCCCAGAAACTTTAACTTGATTTTTAACATGTTATTCCCACCTAATTTGCTCCACACTTCTAGACTTTACTCATTTACATGATACTTACGTTGTGTCTGTACAGACATTTCAGACTTTAGAGTAATGTTAACACAGACCAAAAGGAAAACACACAAAAGCATCGGCAGTTCCTACTATCTCTGACACAAAAGCAACATACGCTTCCATTCAGAGATAGTAAGAACTGCCGTTGCTGGAGTCAGAGATAATACAGTGTGGAGCTGGAGGAACATAGCAGGCCAGGCAGCATGAGAGGAGCAGGAAAGTTGACGTTTCGGGTCGGAACCCTTCTTCAGAATTCATTTATTCATTCCATTTAGTTATTACTTCACATTCTGTGACAACATAACAAAGTCTCTTAGAATGGATATCGGGCCTTTGTAAATTTTAAAAATATTGTTAGAGGATGAATGCTCAATTCCACCTGCCCTGTCAAAGTCTTGTTTACCATAATTAGATTTGACATAACTTTCAAATTATTGTCAGAAAATGCCATTACAGCTGGAAAATAAAGTGAAGGTAGCCTGCCTGTCGAGAAACATACCGCATTCAGGCAGGCTGCAGGTAAAAATAAGGTTGAGAGTCGGCAAGGGCACAACAGGCCAAGTAGCCTGTGTTGTAACCATTCTGTGGTTCCAACTAAGGGAAAGAAAGCCTGAATTTGAATATCGCTAATTTGGAAGTATTAGTTCTCAAATTGCTTCCTACTGCTAAATGGGAACGATCATTAACACGTAAATAACAAATTAAAGACATTTTATTTCACCTAATTTATTTAAATAATCAGTCCTGACCAATTCATGTTTTGTTGTTGGTCAATAACTTACGACAGAAAGCGCTGGAGAAACTGGGCAGGTCTGGCAGCATCGGCACTGACGAAAAGCCATACATTTGACTTGAAAAGTTAACTGTTTCTCTCTGCAAAGATGTTGCCAGAATTGCTAAGTTTCTCCAACACCTTCTCCAGCATTCATAGCACTCCAACGATAATAGAGCCACGAAGTCACTGAGAGTGGGACGGACAGCGAATGTGAAGTTTCACTTCTGGCAGCAAGTGGAGTTTCCCAGTGTGCTCGGCTGTTCAGCGTCCTCGTTTCTGAGCAGGGAGTGAGGTGTGCAGTGAGGGAGGTGTGCAGTAAGCGAGGTGATCGGGGAGTAAGGTGTGCATGGAGGGAGGTGAGCGGGGAGTGAGGTGTGCAGGGAGGGAGGTGAGCGGGGAGTTGATTCGGGAGTCAAGTGAGTTGGGAAGTGAGAAGGGAGTGAGGTGAGCAGGGAGGTGAGAAGGGAGTGAGCTGAGCAAAGAGTGAGGTGAGGAGGAATGAAGTGACTTGGGAGGTGAACAGGGAGTGAGGTGAGAAGGGAGGTAAGATAGGGAGTTAGGTGAGATAAGGAGTAAGCTGAGCAGAGAGTGAAGTGAGTTGTGAGGTGATCAGGGAGTGAGATGAGATAAGGAATGCGATGAGCAGAGAGTGAAATGAGTTGGGAGGTGAGTAGGGAGTGAAGTGCGTTGGGAGATGAGCAGGGAGTGAGATGATTTGGGAGGTGATCAGGGAGTGAGGTGATTTGGGGGATCAGCAGGGAGTAGGGTGAGTTAGGGAGTGAGGTGATTTGGGAGGTGAGTAGGGAGTGGGGTGAGTTAGGGAGTGAGATGATTTGGGAGGTGAGCAGGGAGTGAGGTGATTTGGGGGATCAGCAGGGAATGGGGTGAGTTAGGGAGTGAGGTGATTTGGGAGGTGAGCAGGGAGTGGGGTGAGTTAGGGAGTGAGGTGATTTGGGAGGTGAGCAGGGAGTGAAGAGATTTAGGGGGTGAGCAGGGAGTGAAGAGATTTAGGGGGTGAGCAGGGAGTGAGGTGATTTAGGGGGTGAGCAGGGAGTGGGGTGAGTTAGGGAGTGAGGTGATTTGAGAGGTGAGCAGGGAGCGAGATGATTTAGGGGGTGAGCAGGGAGTGAGGTGATTTGGGAGGTAAGCAGGGAGTGAGGTGATTTAGGGGGTGAGCAGGGAGTGAGGTGAGCAGGGAGTGGGGTGATTTAGTGGGTGAGCAGGGAGTGACGTGATTTAGTGGGTGAGCAGGGAGTGACGTGATTTAGGGGGTGAGCAGGGAGTGGAGTGATTTAGGGGGTGAGCAGGGAGTGGGGTGAGCAGGGAGTGGGGTGATTTAGGGGATGAGCAGGGAGTGAGGCGATTTAGGGGGTGAGCAGGGAGTGGGGCGATTTAGGGGGTGAGCAGGGAGTGGGGTGAGTTAGGGAGTGAGGTGATTTGAGAGGTGAGCAGGGAGTGAGATGATTTAGGGGGTGAGCAGGGAGTGGGGTGATTTAGCGGGTGAGCAGGGAGTGGGGTGATCAGGGAGCGGGGTGATTTAGTGGGTGAGCAGGGAGTGGGGTGATTTAGGGGTGAGCAGGGAGTGACGTGATTTAGGGGGTGAGCAGGG